CAGAAGAAGAAGGAAGAGGAGAAGATGAAAATTTTTTCTAGCACTGATTTTACCTTGGATCTTAGTTATATTTGCAGCCCTTAGATTATGAGCCTCCCTTCTTCACATGCTATATAGAAGAAGAAGCTCATAATCCATAGACTAGAAACAAAAGTACAAAACCTTACTTATAGTGCAATCTTGAGCAAAAATCCTTTTTTGGGTGGCACCCAACATTGCATAATTGGGCCTAGCTCTGATACCATGTTAGGAATATTGGGCCTAACTCCACCTAATAAAACCGGCTTCTTAGGGGAGGATTGCCCTCACCTTATTAAGTGGATCATTTATGTTTTCCCAAGTAATGTGGGATTCTAATAAGTAGTTAGCTATAAAGAACTGTAACTTTCCTTTTCTTGAGCAATTCAATCAAGAAAAACAAACCCATTGTATAATTGCTAAACTTCCTGCTCATCTCGGTCTTCATCAACTTGAACAAGACAAGACAAATTGCAACAAATTTCTCAAATCTACGACATTTACTTTTCCCACAACTGAACCACTAATATCATCTCCATAAGAAGAGAACACTATTTTCATTATTATTTACATTCTAGCAATGGTGGCATTAGATGTAGTGGACAGTTACCTGAATTTCAACACTGAATTTAGTAGATTCTAGGTTTATTTTCTGGTGGACATCAAGCTGCAAAAACTAGATGAATAAGTGAATAACTCTCACCACAAACTCCTGAAAGATGGCTTGGCCCAAAATAAAAAAAGAATCAGTTATATTTTTCATATGATCAGTGTAAAAAATNAACTCTCACCACAAACTCCTGAAAGATGGCTTGGCCCAAAATAAAAAAAGAATCAGTTATATTTTTCATATGATCAGTGTAAAAAATAACAAGGATATTCCTGCTTAGTGCATATAAAATAATATTAAATCCATACCGCATTTTCGTCAGACTCATTATCTTGTTCATTTGAATAAGAGAAATAAGGGTGGTTTGATAGCCACCCAATTCCATGGAAAATGTCCCACTTTTCATGTGTTTGATTGGTTTTTTTTTCTAGGGAATCCATTTTCCCACTTTGGCTTACACGGTGACAATTTCCTTGAATTCATTTTCCCACTAGGTGGGAAAATGGTTTTCCAGGTAATCCTTTTTTTTTTTTTTTTTCTTTTTGCAATTAGAAAAAATTATAAACACAATGATAAAAAAATTTATCACTTTTATTGACAATTTCCATGCAAAACAAAGCTAAACGAATGGTATTCGGTATGATAATTTTTAAATTTTTTTTTTTTTGGCAATTGGAATAAATTCTAGACCCAATGGTAGAAAAAACTATCACTTTAATGGACAATTTTCACAAAAAACGAAGCCAAACGGATACAAAACTTTCAACATTTTCCAAGTGAAAAATTATACCAATCAAACACAATTAATTACAATTCCCAATAAAACATTTTCTAGGCAATTCAATTTTCTGTAAAATATTTTCTTTCCACCAATTTTCCACATTTGCAATCAAACGGACCCTAAGTTCAAATACAAATAGAGCCTAGGGCACCACTTGTATGCAGTTGTGTGGTGAGTTCAGGGGCGGGGGAAGGTCTTTCTTGAAGATGTTTAGCCCCAGGTTATCTCTCATTCTTTCTAAACTCTTTTTTCTACATACTCATTTTCAACCATACGTAAATCCAAAACTTTTTCCTACTTACAACTTTCTTAATTCTGAAGCACAGAAGCATAACCAATTATGGTGTTTAATCTACTCTGTAAAGTCAATATAGCTGATCATAACAGTCTAGATGCTAAAAGGACTCCAAAGGCGAAAACGAACACACATTTACACTATTCAAAAAGTTGATAAAACATTGGCACCTGAGCATGGTATACCATAACAATCGACATCAGCAGTCAAAAAACGAATCAATGAATTCTACAAATACCTACTTTTGTGTTCACTACCACTCTATAAGAAATGAAGGCGGACCTTAAGAGCTATCTCTAATACTCATACATTTTCAATTGGAAATGACAGGGGCCACAATGAAGCAATGTATTGAATTGTCCCAATAAGTCCTAAATCAAAGCAGCAACAATCCTACTTTCAAGCCTTTCTAAGAAAATATTTTCATCAATTACACTGGTAATGGAGTCATGACTTATAATTATGTTCAAGGATCCAAAAACTTGGAATCTTAGGAGCTGTTCTCTTCGTATTTCAGTTTTTAGTTTTGAATTCATTTTGAGTTTTGTATTTTGAGCGTTCATTTTGAGATTGCTGAAAATCCGTTCTTTTTGTCATTTTCAAAAATTGTTTTCAAAAATAAAAAAAATGAAGTTTTGGCTTGGTTTTAACTGAAAACAGCCAAAACGACTTTTTTTACGTTTTCCCTTTTTTTTTTTTCTTTTTGTCATTTTGAAAAATAAAAAATAAAGTTTTGGTTTGGTTTTAATTGAAAACAGCCAAAACGATTTTTTTGGTATTTTCCGTTTTCTTTGTAAATTTTAAACTCGTTTTTGGAAATTCGTTTTTGAAAATAGGTAAATTAACGTGTTTTCAGTGTTTTCGAAAACTGAAAATGGTTTCAAAACAGCAAAGAGAACATGCCCTTTGTCTGCCAGTTATAGAACTTTCGGTTGAATCCCTCATTTTCTTAATTGACTCAAAGTCAGACTCAATTAACTATTTGTACCAAACATTGAGATCAATTTTCAGCAGACATTCATTTGCTACTCATTGGCATGCACATGCATGCATTACCAGGCCTCGAGGTAAAGATAATCCAGAAAAGAAAAAGAACCTAAATAACCAACAAACTAAAATCAAATTTACTAACCCCAGCAATAAATTGCCAGCTCCAAAAACTTTAAGAAAATATTTGACTAAACAAGATATCAGTATTCAGGAAGAATTTGAAACCACTGTGCCGTCCTTTGTGATTGATGGAATCAAAATGAACGAGATGTAAAAATATTTACTAGAAAAGTCAAGATAGTGAGATACCATAAGAAGTCACAGCCATGGAGAGAACCGGCCCACGATGCGCCTGCCATGAAAGTGCCTCTTTGAACCCACTCCTGTTAACAGTATCATTCCCATTTCCATTAAAATCCATCATCTTCCAACACCTAATCCTCCCATCTTTATGCCCACTCCACACAACTCCATTGCCAGTATCCCCAACCACACACAGTGTCGCTGGGCACTGTACAGACTCCCAATACCTCACAGTCCCCTCCTCCCCTTTCTGAGCCCCACAACCGTATGTATCATTCTTCAAATCCCAAACCCGGATTCCACACTCTGAACCAGCCCATTACTGCGGCCGAGCATCGTCATTCACACAAACGATGTTCCTGAAAAAACACGCCACTTGGGTTTCTCTCAAAGGGCGTGGCCTTATCTCCAAACTTGGCGGACTGCCATGGTGCACAGGGGCTCTGAACGGCGGCTTAAACACCCCACTCCCTCCATTGGTCCCAATAAACTCTGGCAACGGCTTGTTTTTACCAGTATCCGGTGATGTCGAAGTAGAAAGCTTCCGATCAAGAAATTGGATCATGTAATCCAGCCGTTTCTGAACAGAATCATTCTGCGATGATCCGCTGACTCCATCATCTTCATCCTCCGATGAGGACGAGTTGTAAAACCGGTCGAATACTTTAGGGGTTTTGATGATTTGACGAGGCTTCATCAAGACTGAATCTTGTGCTGATGCGAACTTCATCTTCATCATCATCGGAATTGACAGTAAAATTCTCAGAGTAAGAGTGGAAATTGCTACTTCGGTGAGAATTTGTGGAGATTTGCTGTATGACTAGAATTCAGGAGATATTTTCGACAGAGAATTGAGGACCGAAATTTGGCCCAGAAGAAGTAGAAAATAATTGAGGTTTTCTTCCTTTTCTTTGTTGTTTTAGCCGTTTAGTAGCCTGACGTCGAAGTCTATCGTCTAGCGCCATTGAAATTGGACTTACAGCCTCAATCCATAACATTATTCGTTTAGGAGATGAAAATTTCATTGGCGATCACCCAACTTATGTCCCTTAATAAAAATGATTGAATGCGTGACCCTAACTAACTATATTCCTTGCGAGTTGCGACCCAATTTTTCTTCATGTGTGAAAAGGATAAGTATTGTATTTTATGTGTAAAGGCTCTAGCGCTTTGTTGTGATTAGGCAAATCAAGTTAGATCACCTAACGATTTTAGTAAGAGTGGTAGATTGAATTGAAATAAAAATGTAAGTTGATTGTACATTGATGATCTTTTACAGAGAATGAACTGTTCAAGTGTCTATTGTCACCCCCACATTGAATTTGTTGTACCATTGCAATGTCAATATCTTTAATTTTAGGATTGTGTTATTTGTACCCTTTAAGGTACACTTTGATTTACCCGACCCCACCCCCTCCCCTCCCCTCCCCTCCCCTGGGGGTCGGAACATGTACCCCAAAGGGCAAGATTGTTGATTTTATTATAATCCTTGTTGTGAATTGGAATATAGTTAGTAGTTTTAATTTTTATTTTACAGAGATAAACATGAGAAGAAGAAGAAGAAACAAATTGTGTGGTCGTTCACTTCTATCCCCTTTTTTATCTACTAAAAATTGGAGATTATAAAGAATAGGAAGCTATGCTTGTTTTTGTTTGAAATTTAAATTGAATTGGAAAATGTATATTTAGCCCCCATATGGTGGAGGATAAAATCAAAATTTCAATAGATTTTCATAAAAATTGATTAAATATATGGTTAAAAAGTAGTAAATCCCATAAAATATATGATTAAAATTTATTGTTAACTATTAAAATCTCAATTTTAATCAACAAACATGAGCTTAGATTCTCCTCACATTGTTTAATATTCAATTTAACTTTGAGCTATTTTACGTATGTATTTGAGATTGAAAAAAATAGTATACTAAATGTTTTTTTAAGAATTAAATTAGTTACACATTCCTTTTGTACATTAAGGGTCCGTTTGTCTCCCATTATTAGCAAAAAAATAAAATAATGAATAGTATTTTTTGAAGAATATGTGATTGAAAAGTAATGTAACTTTATATTGGTTTGTGTGTAAAATATTTTATTGAGTAAATGTGGTGAAAAATCTTATCGTAACAAACAATTTTTTGAAATAATGGTAGACAAACAGAGGCTAAATTTGAAATCCCTTGATGTGTCAAAATCATGAACCTTGATTTGAATAACACTTATTCAAAACAAGACCATGATTTTAACATATCAAGAATGTCAAATTTAATGCATAAAAAAAAAATTACATGTGTCAGCTTTGATTTTTTAATATTTAGAATTATGACAATATAGCCTTCAAGTGTCAATATAGATAGGCCTTAACGGGTCTAAACTAGCTAGGTCACGGACCCGAACCATGCCAAAAGATTAGTAGTTTTTTTTTTATATAGTTTTTAAGGATTTTAATAATTTGCACGGACCAGTCTGGCGGAATTATGATGGACTTAGTAGATGAATTGTGATGACAATACATTCACTTTTTCAAACGTCATTTGGCTTTTTTATACCCCTAAAACAGTATTAAGAAAGAAAAAGAAACTAAAATTTTAATCACGATACTGTTCAGTTCTATCCATACTATATAGTTCAAAAATGTATAATTTTGTTCGGGCAAATACCACATCACATACAGCCAACCTTCACTATCTGAAATTCAAACCCAATGAAATCCACTCATTTGTTACACTGGAGATGCCATAATATACTAGGCATCCAAAACAGGAACCACAAGATAGCTGCTAATTCTATTCCATCTCATATACGTCGTCCACCAAAAATAACCACGAAAAAGGATAAAGATCAGTCACGAAGACAGAATTATACGACCAATGGAGAAAAAAGTAAGCAATGCTTCCCGGAAAGGTATCCCCATTTACTCCGCCAAAGAAAAGATTACCTCTGAATTACACTCTGTGAATCCCTCTCGCAATTTCCTATGCCACCAACAATGTGTTCAATTGCTTACTGAAAAGATCTGCAAGCGCTCCACGTACATCCATCTGACATATAGGACGACCATTTAATATGTTGATGCATCACATGACCATTAAAAAATTGCATTTGCGAACCAAAGATTTAAATTTCTTTAATCTTAACAGTTTCGGAATTGTTAATGCTCAATAACAATGAGTATAAATTGTAAGGGCGATATACATTCTGGGAGCAGAGTTTACCTGGTCGCAGCAGACAAGTTTTGTAATAAATGGATAGAAATCTCTGAGGTGATTTCGGAATATTTGGGAGTTCATATCACACATGCCTTTCAGCACCTGAAAGACCATGAAATATTATTGTAAGTTGCAACTTGAATCACTATCAAGAGGAACGTATGCAATGTTTGCTGAAAAGCATAAATAAACCAGTCAAATTGCATGTACATTTTTCAACAAGTACTTGCATTTCTGCCAATTTAAATTTACGCCTACGATCGTGGAAAACATCATGAATTAAGAATTTCAAATCTCCGGCCTTCATGCAGTCACTGAAATGGTAAAGCCTGGAAATATTGTCCTCAAACATGTAACAGAGCAACACCTTCATTTCTTTATATTCCTTCCACACCTTACCACCTTCAATCTACATCCAAAGTCTCGATTCAATTCCCCACGCCTGTACTGAATACCAACTGACTTCTGTTTTTGACAATATTAACACTAATTATTTTTTTTCTCAAACCACAAATCATAAATCTTTAATATCTTGTTTAACTCAGCATTTGGAACTCTTGACATCCATCTTACAACTAAGGAGCAACATGCAAGGGCTTTGAATGAGCAAAAGCAACCATTAGATTTTTCAGAAAATAGCACGTCCATAAACGAACAGCAATCTGCATTGTTCATCTCCTCTTTAAAACTCCTTTGCGTTTGTCTAGCATCATGCATTCCCTTGTATTCTCTCCATTTCTCTATTAATACATGTGCATGCACAGGTCCCAAAGAAATGGGACAAGAAAAGGAAAATAAAAATATATTAATTAGTTATGAGCTCCATTTATAGGTTCTGAGAAATTGATATCAATCAATAATTGTTAATCTGACGTAACATTGAGCTAATTAATCCTCAGCTGGCTTAATGCAGATACTCTTCAGATGACCTTATATTTCCAGAATAGAGGATGGCCAGCATACAGTGTAAAGGTATCCCCTTGCAACCAAAAGGGAACTACTGCAATATGTGAAACCGCAAGTGTACAATGGAAAGGTAAAATGTAACATTTCATATATTTCACACCTTGACAATAATTGGAGACCGTAGTTCTAGAACTCGATGAATATCCATATTAGCTGTATCCTCCATGCTAGATTGAAAATCAGATGCCTCCCTTAGAACCTGTTCACAAAAAGACACAAGCTTTTCTTTAGCTACTCCTTGAAGTTTCTCTTCTTTAACATGTTCCTCTTTTTCAATGTTAACTGCTGCTGTTGTCTTGTGTAAGATATCCAGATAGATGCACGTTCCAGCTAACTCCTGACGAAGAAGATTCAGTGGTGGTCTGTCAAGCAAAAACTCAAATCATTATAAAATAGGCATGTGGCTTGGAAATATCAAACTTAAAATCAAAGAGAAAATATTATAAATTACGAATATGCTGGCAACCTTTCAGCAGGAATTTGGTGCATCCGCAATCTGAGGTTAGTATATGAGTTGTATGATGAGGCAAACTCTAAGACAGAGAACAAAATGTCCATTATGGTGATCTTCTGTGATGCATTCAACTTGTTCCAGTATTTCTTCTGCAAGTCAGAAATGTATCAACTACAAAATTGTTACCTAGACTTAATTTGACAGAGCATGATAGCAAAATGTACTTATAATGTTCTCTCTTAACATCAATTACATTGAGAATTTTCTCATTCCAAGATCAATTTTGTGGCATTTTATTCAGTCTTATTTATATTGTTAAAAGAAAGAACTTGTTTCACTATATCCTGAACTTGCCGCGACTACTGGGACTGCTGATGTGAAAAATGGATAAGAGATAAACGTAAACATATTGTAATTTTGTGCAGAAATTGAGACATGACCAACAAAAAATCGATTTTAAAACGCTGAAACGATTAAAAAAGATAAGAAAGGTGTAGTAATTAATAGAACAAATTTTCGTAAAAGAAATTGATTTGAAGATTGCAGAAGAAACTGATTCATACTTGAATGCTATCAATGGCACCTAAAAGCAATAACTGCGTGATGCATTTGCTCCTAATGGTTCCCAGCATTGAACTCTCCTCCTCTTCTCTGGCATCGGGTTCTGCAGTATCAGGTAACTAGAGAAGGAGAAAAAAATCAAACCCAGTTTTCACATAATAAAACTCGAAAGAGAAAAAAGAATTAATTAGAAAACAATGCAATCTAATGAAGCATTTCTAATATCAATACAATGGCGAAAACGTGGTACTGGTACAATCTGTCGCTGGAATACATATCTTTCGAGAATAAAGAAACAATAGCAACCATCGTTCTTAAATTCAAGAGAATGAAAGAAAGCAACAGATCAGCCATTTTTTAAACTTATACATGCCACCCACGGTACATCTTTTTCTTAGGTAGGGGCTCTGGAAACTTACTCATATAAAATATTGATTTACTTGAGAGATTTTATCTACACAGAACCTAAGTATTTCAGACCACTTGGAAATTTAGCAGTCTCATCCCTTTCAAGTTTCTACATTCGAAGACAATATTAGAATT